TTTCTACTTTGAGAATTCTAATTATATGAATATAAGTTTCTTGGTTTTGGCACAGTGAACTCTTTATGACTGATCTATAAATTCTTTCTTCACTTTTATTTTGGATAGTTTTTATTGTTATATTCATTTATGTTTGTAAATAATTTATTTTCAATTTGCAATCTATTAGAAGAATAAATAAAGGAGAAGTGAAAAAAAAGAAAAGCTAACTTTTACTGAATTAAAATGTTGGTGATAGTGATAATGATAAATTTTCATATAAAATTTGTGTGTGAATCTGGAATTTTGCTGTATTTTACAAATTAATATCAACATGTTTGTGTATCAATATCATACTATTAGAAGTACTAAAGCTTTGTAATATCTAATTTCAATCTGTCTTTGTACCCTCTTGTTCTTAAAACAGCCTTGACTCTTCTCATTTCTTAATAACAATAAATTATATATATGATTTTGATTTTAAAAAAACAAAATGAATGTAAAAATTTTATTCAAATGATTCAACCATTTATTATCGCATCTTGTTACCATAAATGTTTTATATTCAAAGATATAACTTTATTATAATAATGACAAAAGTTCTCATTAAAGTTTTCCATTAAAAACATCAAGACTGTAGCCATATTTTCACAGGTGCACACATGCCAAAATTCGTCAGAATGTACTCTTTAAAAATGTGCAGTTTGTTATATCACTGGTATACAATATCAAGAACTCTCATGTACCAAATGTGAGTAAAAAGGCAAAAAAAGAGACATGTACCCACAAGAAAGAGCCACTCTTTAAACGCATCAGCAAGTTTATTTACAAATGCAGCTGAACAGAAAAGCTCATTAGTTTCTGGAGAAAACCTCCTTCAGTGTGTGAGCCGTGGTTATTTCCCACTAATGAAAAGGGTTTCTACTGGGAATTGCTTAGCAAAAGTTCTGGTGAAGAAAGTAGAGCGCCCATCATCGAGCACATAAATGTTACATAAACTAAATATTTTGTCATCATATTACATAAGTGAAAAGGATGCACAAAGCAAATTTAGGGACAGATTTAAGTGAAAATTTTCATATGCTTTTGCATTAACTTAGTATACATTACAATAAACTGAATAGATGCAATTACATATTTATAGTAACTATTCCAAATGAGAACTTTAAAAAAAACAAACAATAAAATACCCTCCTCAAAACCCCACTAAAGTCAAACTAAATCATTATCCACCTCAAAAATATTTTTAAATTCTTTTTCTCTTGTGCTGTTCAGATGCTAAGTTCAGTAAGCAAATACTGCACTTCCCCCCCCCACCCGCCCAAAGTTTCCTTCTTATCCACAACAAAAATACAGGTTCTACCAACACTACAATGTTCCCAGATAGTCTAATGAAGCCTCTCAAGAGTTATTTTTTTAAAAAATACAAAGCAAAAAAGGCAGACAACATGTATTTATAGATCTACATCAGCAGCAACCACCTCTTCTTCTATCTGCAACAGTGCTTTCGAATGCAGCTTTGCATCACATGGCGGTTGGCCGTCCAGCTGATCAGCAAGGAGAAAAGAGAGAAAAGCGTTTAGATTCAAGAACATGTGCATCCTGCCACCTGGGATATGTAGCAGTCATCACTCAGAGAGAAGCTGGTGAGGCAGGAAGAGTCACCTGTCACTCAGTCTTAGGATAAAGCTAGGCAAACAGCAGCCTCTGGGCTCTAGAATTATTTTTAAATGCAGTTGAAACTAACTGCTAATATAGAAAGAAATTATACTCAACTCTCTCTTATTTGCACCAAAGGGAAAAAAAGGCATGGGCAATTTTATGATAATGATTCCAAAAATCAATTATATTTGGCTTTGGAACAAAGCAAAGAGCACACACACATACACACAGTCCCCTGGCCTGAGCCCAGCCTTGACATCCTCCAGCCTCAGTGCCAGGGTCCCGGGAAGGCCTGGACTTCCAGCAGGGAAGGCTCAGAGCCACCGCAGATAAAAGAGAGTTGGCAGGACTTCAGCCATTTCCAAAGCACTCTTCACATAAGGGATCATACAAATACCTCGGAGTTCAAAAGCAAATGGTTTTGCTGATACCACTTGTATCACCCTTTCACAATAAGGAAAGAACAGGTTACCAGCATCAAGGTTCACAATACACACAACAGTAATGCTTCTCTTGCTGTAGCTATAAATAATATACAAATTACTTATGCTATCCTACATTTCAGAACACAGAAATGCATGCTGAATACAAAGTAGCATTTGAAAAAAATTTTTAAAAACCTCAAGTTTTGCCAAAAGATGAAATACCATATAGTCAGAATTAAGGCTCCCTTTTGGTAGGGTGGAGATGGGGTGGGATGGGGTAACCAGAAATCAAACTCAGGACCTTGCACTTGCCAGGCAGACGTCGTGTCTCTGAACTATACCCCCCGTCCAAGGCTCCCTTTCTAAAATATTGAAAGTATTGATACATGATTATATATCAACACTAACCAGTGCCTTTTTATTACTTTAAAGGGTCTCTTGCAAAGTTGTTATATTCTAAATCACATAATCAAAGTTCACTAGATAAGAGAAATAAGCTGATAAGAGACCAACCCTTAATCAAGAAGCAGACTATAACCCCTGAAGAGGATCTGTGTAACTGTTGTGGTTTGAATGTGCAGTCCTGAGAGATCCAAGCTTTCTCCAGGCCCTGTGCAGGCTGCATGAGATGCCGTTCCAACTTTCAGATTTTGCCCCTTTAGTTCCCCACTCCTGTGCGGCGAACCCTGACAGTGACTCACTTGCCACACACTCTCTTTGAAGCGACAGACTAAGATCCCAAAACCTAGAAAGCTACGGCAGTGAGCTCGGTGGGGAGGTGGCTGCTGGCTCGGGGAAATGCATGGGCACTCGAGGTCTCTTTAAAAGACAAGAAATTTTCTCTCTGATTTGCTCTCTTACATTTGAGTCTGAGATAGCAGTTGTTGCAGTACAGCTGGTGGTTTCGGATTCTGACTTCAGCTCCTGCGGAAGAGCCTCCCAGGTCGCACTCACAGGACACACACTAGGGAACAAAAAGAACACCCACAGTCAGTAAGCTCAGGAAGGCTCACAGCACACACAATGCAGCCGTGCAGTTCTTGGATGCAGATGAACAAACAAAAAAAGCAAAAATTTTTAAAAAGCCAAGAGATGATTAGCAGATTAAAATCAGGCCTGCCAGATAAGACATGATTTAAAGCATTCATGAAGCCAACTTAACAGCCAAGATGATCATTCCATGCCCTCCGAAGCAGAAGTGATTTGCTGATTGGCTTAAGGAAATTTAGCCTCATGCACCCTCAAGGTAGCAGAGGACAAGTCACCACAGGCAGTGGGCCATGCCCGATGTCCCCGCAGCCCTAGCTTGGTGAGCATCCCCATGGGGCACCCCTCTGTAATGCTGGGAATTTCAGTCCCATCTGCTCAAACACTAATTATTTTGACTCACTCTGCTCTACCTAGGAAAAGCCCAACCCAGCATAGAGCATGCTTAAACAAGCTGTGGTTGGTGGGGCTCTGCAGTCCACAGAGGGGAGCCCTTCTTCGGGCCTGGTGCATGTCCAGGAGCCAACAGGTGTCTCTCTAGAAACAAGTACTGAGAAACCACGCAGATAGAACAGCCTCAGTTCTTTGTTATACACACTGTACAACTGTGAAAATATTTACAATGCTTTTTCCTTACATATTTGCCATAGTCGAAGCTAGGCTTTCAGACACTGTGGTAATTACATGTCCCTATGTCATCGGCAACACTGGCAAATTGTATTTTAAGTATGACTGTGGTGACACATTAGAGAAAACAGTTATGCACTATAAATGCTATTTATAGAATTCTAACAGATTAGAGACAGGAAATGAACAGTGTTCTCAGATTTACTTTTTATAACAAGGTTCAAGATTTTAGAACTAAGTAGTAGCAAGTGTTGTGTGAATCCAATGCGGCACAGACTGACAAACAGCACCGAGCTTGTTAATGGCACAACCACACCCAGCAGCTCCAGGAAGCCATGCGATCTCCAAGCAAAGCTGTGCAGGCCTGCAGGCTGTTGGTTGCAGTCTCACCTTAAAACAATGTAAATGATAACAAAGCCCCAGGGACTCGATGATCATGGCAGCTCCTTTGCCCAGAATGTTATTACAGTAGGAGCACACGCGCTTCCCACTGACTGACCTAGATGCAGAACAAGAACGGGAGGGAGGCTTTCACCTGCGCAGTGCAAGGCTTGCATTCAAGTCACCTGGATTAACATCAAAACTGATAATTCAAGACAGGCTCTGAGGACCCAAGAAGAAGGCACCTAAAACATGCTCTGACTTTACTGTAACCTTGGACAATCTGCACAGTGCCTCTGGGACCTTCTATGCCCATCTCCTTAATAAACAGCCTGAGTGTAAACTAGTCCACTTGGCACTTGCTGACACCATCGTCCTGAGGTCACCCGTGTACTTCACAGTCTGTCTCTCCTCCCCTGATCCACTGCATCTTCTTGCCAGTAAACCCACCAGAGCCCTCAATTCCTATCATATCCCACCATCTCCCAAATGCTAAGAACTGTGCAACTTTCTTTTAGATCCATTGTGAGTCTCTGTGGGGTGCTTCTCAGCTTTACTTTGTACCTTATTTCCCCAGTTTTTTAGTGAAACAGAGGAGTTGGTGTTCTCCTAACTGTGCCTCTTAGTTTCTACAGTTGCCTCTGCTGAGAATAAAATGGACATGACCAGAAAGCAGCAATAGGGGAGGAAGCGTCTGCTTTACTTTCAGATGTGGGTCTCATCTCTCCCAGGGATAAGGGACTTTTTCTTTTCCTTCACATTCCCCCAGCATTTGGACAGCCCTCAAGAGCACTGAGCAGTGCTGAGTGTCTGATGTTACAAAAGTTCTGTAGGGTGTGATAAACGTAATATTCTTTTGCATATAAAATGTTTTCTTATAAAATCTCTTACTGACCACAAAAAAAATCTAATACTACTGTACCTCAACTTACAAGCATTCTACTTATGATGAAAGGCAGTACATGCCAGTAGAACCGAAGCACGATGTATGTACTCAGGCGAAGTGCCAAGGAATGAGGAGAAGCTGTACAGGCCTAACACAACACACACTGCCATCCAAGCTTCATTCCCGAGCACAAGGCAAGCAGCTCGGAAGGGGCTATCAGTCACATTTCCCACACCACAGGACCTGCATAATTCAACCGAGGCCCCTTGGACACAATGTTGGCAAACCAGGTAACAGGTAAGCAAGGGTTTTGGCAATCAAAAACCCCAAAAGCAACATCTAGTCTATTTAATAATTTTCTTTTAAATCCATCTTGTTAAAAGCTTCCCAGGCCATAGAGCTTGATTACAGTGTTTTTCCTTTTCATTCAGTTCCTTTGTAATATTTCTCCTACTCATACTTATCAGCTGCTGGGTATTTTTGTGATTCTATATGTATGACTATTCATGCTCCTCTGCGAGCTAAGGCACTGGCCATAAGCACAGGCAAAGTGGATCCTGGCAACAAGCAAACATCTTAGAGGTCTCAGGTGGCTTCACAAGACATCTACAAAGGTACTAAGGCTTCTCAATTGATTTGATGAAAGAACTGACTTCGACACATTCCAAAGGGCTCACATTTCTTTACCAGAATGCTGGGACAAGGCCTAGGGTTATTTTTAATGAAAAAGATCCCTGAGACCAAGAGAGGCATGGGCCCTTACCTGTTGCGGAGCTGAGAGCCTGGCTGCGAAGTCGAAGGAGAATGGCTGGGCAGGGTGGCGGATCGGGTAGTGGCTACACCAGAAGAGGTAACCGTCTTCACTGGGCCAGAGGGAGGGACCACACTGGAGGAAGGGTTTCGCATGTAGGCACGGTTTGATGTGGACAGGAACTGAGGAGATGAGCGACTACAGTCTTGAACGGAGGAAGAAGTGTAGACTCCCGAAGACTGAGTGAGCCAAGGGGATTGTCTCCAAGAACTGGACCGCGGGGAGTCCAGGTTATCTAGAGATTCCCCTCTGAAACACATGAAGGACTCTGATCAAGACAGGGTCAAATGCTCAGCTAGAAATCCACCCCACACCTCATGACAGTTGCAAAAAGATCCATCTTATGCATTTCATACCAGGTATCTAAGAAGTCCAGTTATGTATAAAATTACCTTTAGTAAATTGTCATCATCAGAGACATTTCACATTTCAATCAATCTTCACTTTTATTTTTATTTATCTGGTGCTTAGGAAAAAGTATAAGTACCAACCAAAGGGTTATCACTCTTGAGACATTTTCTTATGCCAAATTTAAAATGGCTTAGTTACTTTAACATCAAAATAGAAATATATCAACCTATGGAGAAAAACACAAGCAGCACAGGATATCTGAAGGAAGGCAAGGATGCTTCTTCCCTTGGTTACCATAATTACCCATAAATCCTACCACCTAGGTCCCTAATGGTAACCACTGTTAGCTGTGGGTCCTCCCAGACCTTTATCATCTACGCAAGCAAATATCTCAATATACAATCAAATTTACCCGAGTACATACATCTATATACAATGTGCTGGTGTACTTAACCACCTACCAAGTGGGAGTGTTCCACAACACAGCCTTCTTTGCCTACCACTTAATACATATTGTCTCAGTCCATCCTCATGCCTGTTCTGTGATGGTCTGTGCCTGGTAGGGCCCCCGGAGACAGGCCTCTGTATCCTCTGCCCTGTGCACTCCCCTCCCACTAACTCTGAGCTTGACCTCTGACTGACTTGGCCAGTGAGGCATCAGCTAATGTGCTGCACGTGGCTCTAGCAAGACTCCCTCTGAGTCCAGGACCATGCCCTGAGGCAGCCCCTGCCGCTATACAGGGAGGCCCACAGGAAAAGAGGTAAGAGTTCTGGCTGAGCTCTCAGCAGAACCTCTACACAAAGGACAGAAAATCACGGCTTCTTACCAACATATGTACAGTTTCCAAGCTGAGAATTCTTTTCTTTTGCTTTCTTTCTTTTTTAAACCAAGTCTTACTCTGTTTCCCAAGCTGTCCTTGAACTCTCCATGTAGTCCAGCCTGGCCTCGAACCCACAGTGATATTCCTGCCTCAGTCTCCCAAGTGCTGGGATTACAGATGTGTATCACCATATCCAGCTACATTTAGCTTTTGTTTGTCTTGCCTATAAACTGCCTATTTGTATCACATGTCTATGATAATTTTGTGAAATTATTAGGGTTCATTTGCTGATTTTTTTAAAAAAATGTTATCTGTGTACTGAGAAACTTAGCTCTTTGTTACTAAAGTGCTATAACTAACTTCTCCTGGTTAAGGAAATATGAGATCAGAGTAGCTGCAGTACTTGGTTTTCAAGATAGATCTTTTTAAATGCTCACCTATTCATCTCCAATTTATAGTTACATATTTACTTTCCTAAAGTTATAAAATTTAGGTTTTCCCCCACTTTATAAAACCCATTATGATACCAATGAAACCATTATCTCCTTATAAACAGAGGTTTCCCTTTTTTCTTAATTCAATAGCCTTTTTAAATAATCAGAGACCCATTTCAGAGTTTTAAGACCAGACTTCACCGATTAGCTATGCAGTCCTGCCCAACCATCTTCCCTGCTTGAGCTAAAGTCTCTTCATATGGAAACACAGCTACTATGTCTATCTTAAACTATATTCCCACACTAAATGAAACAACATAGACAAATTAAGATTCATGTTCGGCACAAACAGCATTCAATAATATTGCCTTTAATTTAATAATGCCTTGCTTTCACCAAATAACCCAAAAAGAATAAATCATGATGACTTCTTTGTAGATTCATGAATTAAACATCAGCCTCACAGTGAGCAGGAGGCAACCCTCACTGCCTCTCACCTCCGCATGATTCCAGGCAGGCAGATAGGTTCCTTGTTCACGCTGGAGCTGCGCTGCCGGATCCAGCTGTTGTCATTGTGGAGCGAGGTTCTCTTCCTCATCTCCTGCAGGATTTGCTGTCTCTCCAGCTCTGCTCCCGAGGGGCCTTGATCTTTCTTGGAACTCCTCTGTGAAAACGTAGCACTTTCTATTTGGTCTATGTATTTGTTGCTTCCTAAATTAAAAACACATCAAAAGCTTCAGGGTTAGTAGATAAGAAATGATAGCAGATAAACTTCCAAAGACAGGGCAGCCTCCACGCCGACCCTGTGCACACCTGCTGGAATTAGCAACTTCCCACGCGGTTTCAGGAGAAGAGACACTGTCGCCTCTCGCTGCTGGCAATTCCAGCTCCACAGTCACAGGCTTAGCGCATGCACTCAGGAGAATCATAGTGCAGCCCAACAGAGGAAACATCTGTGGGTTTCAGCAACATTTCAGTCACAAAACGCACACCTTAGTGCGCCTTCCACTGCCTTCCACTCTTTCCTTCTTAAATTAACCAAGCCCACACCCCCTCAATGCCTGCTGGGACAACTCTACCAGAAAACAGGGAGCTTTCTTTTTAAAAACTTACACTCCCCCGAGGAGAAAGACAAGGCCTGTTTGTGGCATGCGTCACAAACTACGTCATGCCCAAGTTGTAGGAATGTGGGAGCTGACTATGTGAGCACATTCAAGCACTGAAATGGCTTCGTGAACAGGAAGAGCCGCCGACTAAGCCAAACAGTCGTCAGTGAGTGCTGCCACACCTGCCTCCCAGGGGCTTTGTCTCTTGAATTTGATTAATTTCTTGTTTTTTTCCATTTATGTTATTGGTACTGGGTCTCACTATGCAGCTGGGACTTGTATGGATCCTCCTGTTTTCAGCCTCCCCTGTGATGGGATTAGAGGCGTGAGCCACCACACCCAGACACTTTCACTGGCTTGCCCGCCCCCCCCATCCAAACCCTGGTCTTTGCGCTTGCCAAAGCAGGCGCTTAGTCTGCTGAGCTATCTCACTGGCCCTTCTTGATTAATTTCTAATTTAGGTAAAATAACTACAACTTTGAAATAACATCCATGCCTCAATGTGGATTAGGAAATTTTATCTAAGAATATTGCTTCTGTTATTTGTTCAGAGTTTATGATTTATCTAGTCTCATCTTCCAGTAAGCAATGAACAGGGACATCAAAGATTTCTTATACATGCTGTATTTAACGGAACATCAATTTAGCTCAATATTAAATGAAATATCTTCTATTTTTAAAGTACTTAATTGCCATAACTATATTTCCTCAAACATTTAATAATTTCCAATACCTGTTCAGAAACTTGTAATTCGTTAATAAAAGGGAGAAAGTATGCATACACAACAAATGAGATTACCACAGTCACACGTGCTGCTTTAACAGGCTGTGCAAACACAGTGGCTACAGGTGAGAGAAGTTAATGGAACACTGAAGTACTTACACTGTAATCTTAATAGCGGAAAGTAACAAATTCAGGGAGTAAGAAATACAAAAATCAAATTGGGAAAAAGCCCAAAGACCAAGAAATTAAGAAGAAGCCAATATGACTACAATTAAAACTTTGCCTATAATCCCAGCACTAGGGAAGCTGAGACAGGAGGAGCAGTACAAGTCTGAACTGCGTAGCAAGACCCTGTATCAAAGAAGGGGGGTGGGAGGGCAGAAGGAAGGAAGGAAGGAAGGAAGGAAGGAAGGAAGGAAGGAAGGAAGGAAGGAAGGAAAAAAGGTTGGAAAAGATAACAGAAGACTGTATTTGTTCAAGTCAAGAAGCAGTACCAAAAAAAATCACAAATCCTAATGGAAAATGAAAATTTTGTAGGCTCCAAGCAGGGGTTCCCAATCAGTTGCCACCAGACCATTTTAGGCAACAGACATGTCCTTTCGCTCACAGAGGATTTTAAATACTTTAATTTCCTTGTCAACAATTTAAAGGAAACACATAGAAATACAGGTTGTGCCTCTTCACTTTCTTCTCTTGTATGACAGCAACAGGTGGCAATCAGAGGTCTGCATTCCTCCATGTGCCAGTGATTTGAGGGCACCGAGAGCCTGTCCACCTCAGTGCCCAGCCGGACCTTCACTTACATAACTGGCAGCAGCTACCAGACAAGCTCTTAAATTATTCTGTTGATTAGAGATTTTCCCCCCTTAGGTATGTAATTTCACTACATTAACTCATCAGAAATGTACAACAAATAGTATCAGTTTCTGAACTGTTTTTGTGAAGTTAGTAAACCATTATCACTTTGGGTTTCTGACATTTTGGCTGACATTTTAATGTACCGCTTCAAATTTGTATGTAATTTTTTAAGTTCCTGGGTATATCACAGAAATATCTTCTGTCCCATTTCTTTGATGTGAAATGAAATCTACCATGCAAAACTGTACCAACATTACTTTCTAAAGTTCCCACATAGCTCATTAGCTATTTAAAAACCATTTTAATCATTCAGTACTCTTTCCATTATAAATAAAGCTAAAATAAACATAAGACAGTTGTTTTATTACAGACACTAAAAGAGTATTTTAACACTAGTTAATCTGCAATATCTTGCCCTTAAAAATACTAATCACAAATAAATAAAACAATGAAATTCATCCTGCACTTAAAAAAAATACTAATCACAGCATATGACTACACAAGCCATTGTGCTGAAGAAGTTTTTTTAAAAAAAAACCACACTCACCATTTTTATTTGTGGAGTAATCATCCAGTTGAGTAGTAGATATGGATTTATTCCTAGGACACAAATCGTAATATATTAAGGCTGTATCTCATTAAAAATAGTTCATCCTTATGGTATAAAAACATCAAAAAAGATCATTTTTAAAGCAGTTGGTTTATTTCCTAAGTCTGTTGAAAGCTAGCCTTACTTTTAAACTAAGTAATTTCTATATCACACACATGATCAGCAGACAGACGTGAGAGGCTGGAAATGCGCAGGAACGTGCCAAGGGCACCCAGCGGCTGGGGGACTACAGTGTGTCAGTGCGCTCCTGGGCCCGGCCTCAGGTTTTCCCAGGACACAGAGCGTCTGTCCTCAAGTCACCCACAGGCAGACCTCGCTGCTCCCTCCACCACCCTCATCATGGCGCTGACTTCCTGGGCAGGGACCACCACTGCCTCCCCTAGACAGCAGCTTTCCAAGGGCGCCCCTGGCCTTCCAAATAGATATTAAAGCATACGGCACCACCAACTTCTGCAAATGCCTAACTTTAGCTCTATAAATCAACACATGCTGAGCTCATTTTCAATTAGATATGCAGTTTCAAAAAATTGTAATAATATACAATAGCATACAAATGGTCACACATATGTATATTATATACACACAAAATGCAATAATCTATAGCACAGATATACCACAGCTGCTGGACAACTACGTTTGTGAACAATTTTACTTCTAAGGAACAAAACACTTACTGCTTAATCTGTGGCTACACTCCTCAGTGCCTCCAGGACCTCATTTAATGGCATTCCCTAGAGGTATTTCCTAATTTCCAGGATTCCTTAAGTTTCCTTTACCTGCATTTTAATTATTAAACTGATAAGAGCAGATACTACACTTAATCTTAAGCAAAAGGCCAAGAAGCGATTGCACTTTTAGTTCCATAATGTTATTTAATGTTCTATAAACGTATTTAGTTCCATAAAGATTTTTAAATAGAAATAAATTTGTAGCATTAAAGAAAAGATAAACATCTTACTGATAAAACATCAGGTATAAACATTTTACCTCAGAGATGTTCATCACTAGATATTCTGTCCTACTTACTGTCAACCCACTCCTAGTTAGTCCTTTCTTTTTCCCTGCCAACTCTTTATTTTTTAAAGAGAATAAACAGTACAGTCATCTTGCTTGTTTTTAGATATTTCTTTCTTTATAGCTATTAAAGAAGATAAAACTTTCTAAAGGAAAAATTTCATCTCTTTAAACACATATTAGTGGTTCTGGATTGGATATTTATAAATCAATTTTGTTCAAAAGTCCTGAGTAATTTCCAAACTGCAAAGCACTTTTAGAATTACCTAAAACATTAAAAGTTAATTTTTTAGGAAACTCTAAAATATATACAACCATTCTGATACCTGAAATCCTACCATCATCCCCCAAAACTGGGTCCAACTAAACTATCTAAGAATAAGAGAAAGATTGTAATTCTCATTTAAGATATCTTTACATAACTTTTTAAACAATCTTAAACACTTGCTCGTGATGTATTCTGAGCAATGGCTTTGTCTGCTTTCTTGGACTATCTCTCTTTTCCCATATGGAGGTAGAGTTTTTTTCTTCTCCTTCAACTTTATTTTAAGGGATGGATTTTTTTTTCTTTTTTTTTTTTTTTTCTTATTTATATTTTAGTATATGGTCTAAAGGGTCTCACTATGGAGACTGGACTCGTAGTGATCCTCCTGTTTATGCCTCCCAAGTGCTGGGATGACAGGTGCATGCCACCGCATCCAGTCTCTCTAGCTGTCTCAGCATGTCCCAGAGGCGGGGCTGGCACGGCATGCTGGGGATCAAACCCCAAACGCTGCATCTGCCTAAGCAGATGCTTTAATCCACTGAGTTATTTGGCTGGCCCCAACTTTATTTTAGCTGGTCTTGTAACTTTACTGTGGACAATAACTTAGACCCAAGTGCCTTCCTAACTCCCTTTCTAATTCTCTTTCCTACCCAACCACACCACATATATAAAGCCCTCACTTGCTTGCCAGATGCCAAAGACCCGTGACTCACTTCAGCTGTCCTCATTGCCCCCACTGCTAGCCAGCCAGTCTCTAAGAGCAGGGATGCCTAGTTAACTGTCTCGTTAATAGGTGTGTGTGAGCCCATGCAACTAAATAATAGAACTGCCAGGCGAGCTCAGCCCAGAAAGCTGATCCATAAAGTCCTGGGCTAAGTCACTAAGTTTAGGGGCTACTGAATGATCAACTGGCAGGTTCTCTGTGTATCACACCAGAGACAGAGGGCTAAAACACCTCTTCGGGTCATCAAGAAAGACCTGGGAATGACCACCTGAAGTCTATCACTATCAACCAAATTTTTAAAAAACTGTTTTACACACCTGTCATTTGGAAGCAAACTTGAAAGTTCTTCTTCCTCTCTCTTTGGTATATCATAGGAATCAACAGGTCTAAAAGGTAGGGAGAAAATTTATAGTCAAAATATTAAACTGTAAAATCTTCCCTGATTAAGGGTACCAAAATAATGTCATTTTTCCTTCTTTATGCAAATGCCCTCTGGGTTAACAGTAAATACACTGAAGTATTCCAATCAATCACTATAGAAAAGAGACCTACTACTGCCAACAGCATTGGTTACTCAGACATATACAAGTCTACACCATGGACCAGTTGGGTCTAGTACTGGTCTCTAGCTACATTACAGAAGTAAGCTCAGCTGTTGGCCTTTTAGTACTTATATCTTACTGGGGCAGGAGGGCCAGCAGAAAAACACAAAAATAATACAAAACAGGGCAAGGGCATAAAGACAGAAAGGGTAGAGAAGAGCATGCAATCTAAACAGGGTAATTTAGAAAGTCTAACAGGATGATATATGATCAAACATTTGAATAAAATGAATAAGCCTTTCACTTTGCAAAAGGCTTATTTTTTTTCAGGCTGAGGAAAACAAATAGATGCAAAAGTCCAGGGGCAGATTATATTACATTGACTATTTCACAGAACAATAAGTACACCCATGTGGCTAGAACAAGGGGTGCGGGGAGTGGTAAGCACTTAAGAGAACTCAAAGGGTCAAGACATAGCTGGGTCAAGGACTTTGCGAAGTGTTCCATGGTGGCAAGAAGCCATCAGAGGTGAGCAGGGTGTTATGGTAACATGACAGTTCTGTGATGGAAAGGTGCCCGCAGACTGCTTGTGCTCCCTGTGCAGAGGAAGGATGGAGGGGACAGGAGGCCACTGAGGTGCCTTGGAAGTGAGACACAATGCAGCGAAGCCAAGCCCACTGCCACTCCCTCAGTCCCTGGGGGTGATATGGAGGGGCACATGACAGATGGATGGGACACACACCTCCTATACTGATATATTCTGACTGAAGTCTCCCTCTCTTTCTCAGCTTGGTGCTTCTGCTCAACCCGGTGCTTCTGTGCCTCAGACTCGGCCTCAAGGCGCCTCTCCTCCTGCTCTTCCAGGGATCGCTGCTCCCTCTCAAGAATGAGCTGCTCCTGCTGCTTTGGGCTTCGGTCCCCAGCAGTCACATCTGCTTCCTGCTGCTGCTTCTCCTCTCCTGCTCGGGTTCCTTCCCTGTCAGAAGACTTGGACCCTTCACTCCATGTGGCTTCCCAGCTGCCCACGGCAGGCTCCCGCTGGGTCAGAGAGATGCTGTTTGAGTTTAGGACCATCAGTTCCTGAACGACGATTGGAAAGAAAAGAAAGACATCCACTCACTCTGTGTCTCTAATTTCATAAACAAATAGACTCATTTCAGATGATACTAACTATAGTAGCCCACAATTCCAAGTAAAAGCATTAAATTTTATGACAAAAAAAGCCACATGTTGTTGGGCCCGGGAGATGGCTCAGTAGAATAAGCACTTGCCTGGCAAGTGCAAGGGTCTGAGTTCAATCCCTGGTTCTGCCAAAAAAAAAAAAAAAAAAAGAAAGAAAGAAAGAAAGAAAGAAAGAAAGAAAGAAAGAAAGAAAAGCCACATGAGTGATCCAGTTCTGAGCTACAAGAGTTTTGGAAAAGCACTAATGTAATTATGTAACAGTATAACCAAAAACCTAGGAGAAATGCTAGACATCAAAACAAAATTCTAACAACTAGGACTCATCCTACTTTTTCAAAAAGCGACAGATGTTCACGTGAGGCCAGAATCAGAGGGAAGAGGAGTCTCTTTCTCTTCAGCTTGTTCAATCAACAAGGAAAAGAAGGAAGCAAACTACAAATGCCTGTTTTACCTCATCCAAGTACTTGGAGTTCTCTCTCTCGGCCTCCTGTTTAGCCCTTTGCCACTCTTCTCTCAGTTTCTCCTGCTCACGTTGGTATTTTTCCTACAGAAAAAATATGGCATACTATTAATCAACATTAACTCCTCAGGCAAAACAGAATCTTTTTTAGCAACGCTACTGTAACCTAAAGCTTCGCTCCAACCTTTAAAGAACGGTTTTATTTTCACTCAACTAATCAGATTTTATTCCCTAGAGTAGAAAAAGAGCTTGTGTTGAACTAAAAGACCCACCTTAGGAGAGGGCAGATTCATGGAATTAGACCCAGCACCACTCTTGGCCAGCGATGTAAGTCATTAGTGCCTCCAGCTAAAGGCAGAGCTGAATTACTCCACGATGGAGCTATGAAGTCAATGCACCTTTCTCTTAAGCACACCCTTCACATACTGGTTCTCATCAGTTAAAATCAGCTAATGCATGATTTTAAAACCGCAACTCTGAAAATCTTCAACCAATTATTTTTTTTTTCAGTACCAGGGACTGAACTCAGGACCTTGCACTTGCCAGGCAGGCACTTATTCCACTAAGCCATCTCCTCAGCTCTGAAAATCTTCAAAATGAGAAAGTATTCATTTGATGTAAAGCGTGCTGATACAAAAGGGCCTGTTAGTAATGAGACTGCTTTTTAAGCTGGTTTCTTCATGCTGCTAAACCCAGAGAATGGCAGTGAAAGTAACGCCTCAGACCCACGCACTAACAACCAAACCCTCCAGGGCTACCTGCAGCAGGCGGTCCTGCTCCTTCTGCCACCTCTCCTGCCGCCTTCGCTCCTCCTCTTGATCCCATGCCCAGCGACTTGGGGTGCTGACGGTCGGAACTGGAAGCTAACCAGCGTCAGAGAAAAAGTACAAACACAGAATGCAATTTTATTAAATTATCTATGGAACCACTTTCACATATATCAATCATTCATCTTACACAGTACTTAACCCATACCAGAGAAGACCTGGCTTTACATTTCCAAGTAAGTCCTTGGAACATGGAAGAAGTACTACCTAATAAACCCTTACAATGGAAACTGAGCCATATGCATGGAATACTGATTTAGTCCCACCAGGCTCAACCTGTTTATTCCCAACTGCGAACAAATACTACTTACATCAGGAACCACAGAATCAGAGCTTCCTGCACGGCAGCACACAAGCAAGGGAGGGAAGAAAAAGAGAAGGTAAGTCTTCACATTTGTATGCAATAATTCATTTCAGAAAACTGTATCACTTTCTCTATGCCAGTATACTAAGTGACATCAGTTTCTTTAAAAAAAATAAATAACAATCAGTGAGTCCTTTTACCCCTTTAATTGCATTTGTTACTCATCTTCAAAATCTAATATTTTGCATGAGGTGCCCAAGGTACAGTACATCAGAGCTCCAGACACCAGAGTGAGGCAAGGGATATTTCTGAAGAGGTTTCAAGATTCTGCTACTAAACTGGGCCCCACTCATACTTTGGCTTCATAGAGGGAAAAAAAAAAACCTCAACTATTATCTCTACTAAATCCAATTTTTCACTTGCAACTGCAACTATTCAACTACTGCTATAGCTCTAAGTCACATTTTTCAGGTCCTCTTATTAAGGAGCTGTTTTTCACAAATCCTTTGTTGAAACAGACACGTTCGAGAACTGTATTAGTTTCCTCTCCTATTATTTGAAACACATGGATTCGAGCTCGATGTGGATGCGTGTAACCATAATCTTCCTCTAACCCTCAGCTACCTACACAACCTGTGCAGCACGCTCTGCACGTGTGCCTCTGTACACACATGAACACAGTGTAATGACTACAAAAGGTAAAATTTCACAAAATACAAATTTTTCATACAGCATTTTAAAATTTTCCTGAAACTTCAGCTGTCAAATTATTTACTTACACAATGTTTTAAAGAAAATTGCTTTAAGACTTACAAAAATGTTCTTTCCTAAAATAGCTTGTTGATGAAAAACAAAAGAAAATTAGAATAGAGAAAGAAAAGGGATTATCTTATTTTAACCCACTTGAGTTAGGAGTTTTAAATTATATAGTCATAGAAAAATAGGACTATAATAAAATAAATAAAAAACACAAAGGATACTGACACAAATAGTCATGCATAGCTGGTAAGCTATTTCTGCTTATGGTCAAATAGAGGCCTTAATCTACAAAAGAAGACTAGGTGACTAGCACAAAAATATACAAAACCAGTAAGTGTCATGTTACAGTACAATTCTTTAAATGTTTCAATAGCCTTAAAAGTAAGAAACAACATTTTAGACAGCGTGGCACAGTCTCTTCTCATGGCCGCCCTCAAATGCTGGATATTACTTTTAAGTGTTTTATAGCAAAACTGAGTTTGAACTGCATTCATGAGCCAGAGCATTAGACAGGTGTGAAAGGGGACAAAATGCCACATGCAGCACACGGGAGGCAGCCCTGCCCGACTACACCAACACGGAGAAGTACAAGCTGTACCTGTGTTCAGGTGCAACCACAATTAACTTGGGATTCACTTGGAGGTGGACAGAGCAGCCATGTCACCACTCCAAAGCCACCACCTCAACAGCAGCAATAGCTCTGTTCTCTTTAACAGCACTTTCCACAACCCAATGCGAGCCAGTTTTTAATAGTTTGCCAATTACATGTTGGTGTAATCTGATATGATGCAATTTCTAGGAAGCAGTAGGACTTAAGTGACATTCTTCATTTCTAATTGCTACCCAGTGGAAAGATGTGTGTTACGTGTGTTTAACAGCATCTCAGGTTTTTTTACAAAGTTGAATTTAAAAAAACCTTTCGAGCTATGCAAAGGACACACAAAGACCCATTACCACAGAGGTAGACCCATGAACTGTAAAAAAAGCCTGACGACCCTAGGGAAAGAATGGAAACGGGTTACGTTGTTTGGTAATAATGACAGCCACACTGGAGAGGCGAAGTGCCCAGACCCACAGACCACAAGAAGGGTGGAGAGCTGAGGAGGAGTTCATGAATGTGAATGAATTGTTAGTTTGTGGTTTTACCTTGTTCAAAAAATTGTGATCGCCTTTTTAAGTTTTTCAAAGAAATGGATTCAGATGCTAGTTGAAAAATAAAACAAATAATAAATACATGTCATTCATCTTAATTTCTTACCACTGGTAAATCAAAGGATGTGATATCCCTTTCCAATCTGTAGCAATATTTATTTTTAAAATGATACAACTGATAGCTGTAGGAGATATGGATTATTTCAAGCCATATAGACATACATATTTTAGTAGTTTATATTATATTCAAATTAGTAAAAGAATGAATAGTTTTAACAAATTTTAGTAGGTAGCATTATATTGTCACAGCTATGAAAACCATATGATCCATGCTAGGCAAATTTAAATTAACATTTTTGCTCAGGTTAATCAATCATCTCCACCAAAGAGTATTCACAGCATGATGAATAAAAACTAAGAAGTATCATGGACAAGGAGGACAATAACAAATGCTAAGATTAAGATATTTTTAAAACTAAAATAATTTACCTAGTTTCCAAGATTTTGTAGTTACTAACTTAAACAAGATGGAGTTCAGTCATGAAAGAAAAAACATTCTGACTTTTCTCTGCTATCATCTGTCATAAAATGTGAATGCAAGTGTGACTTGACACTGGTGGGTGTTTACTTACATCAACAAAATGTTCAAACGATTGGGTCTGCATATAGTCCCATCGTCACTAAAGAATTAGAGGCCTTACCGGTTGACTCTTCTTGGGCCACTGACAGAATGGTACCCAGAGGCCTTACAGTTATCATCATAAAGAAAAATAGCCAATGCTTGACTAGAAAACTTCTTTGATTAAAAAAAAAAAAAACTTTAAAAGTTGCAATAGTCACTTTTAACCATTGAAAACGAAATACTAAGAAAAATAGTGAGGAAAGCAAAGCTTATAAACTTAGGTTGGCTTTGACAGGACCAAAGCATTGTGAAAGCTCAGCCCTACGCCTGGCAGCCTCATTTGATGGTAAAAGAAGTTTCATCTCCTCCGAGTCCCTCCTTGCCTACGTGGGATCAGACAGAGCCCTCTTGTTCTGTACATCCAAAGAGTAGCACACAGTTTGCAGTAGCTTAATTATTTCTGGATGGGCAGAAAAAGGAATAAAAATGCTAACTCCAGCCCTTCCCTAGACACTTGACTTTTTTTCTCATTACCAATGAGTACAACCACTGAAAAGTGATTTCTCTTGATAAGGTTAGCTACCTTAACAGACATGGTGGTGCACACCTGCAACCCCAGCTTCCTGAGAGGCTGCAGCAGGAAGATCACAAGTCGGAGCCCAGCCTTAGCAACTTCATGACTTAGAAAGACTGTCTCAAAATAAAAAATTTTAAAAGATCTGGGGATATATCTCTGTATGAAGGCCCTGAATTCAAACATTATATCAAGAATAGAACCTACATACTTGCTCCTTTCATAACAATAAAGATAATGGATAGAACAGTCATCATTTTCTATGTAACCGAAATTCCCTCTGCCAGCAGGCTCTTGCCAGAAAGCTGCTGGCCTCGGGGAACCTGCTCTTTTTACTGGGCTTAGGCAAACAGGTTCCCAAAGCTGTAGAATATGGTGCCCAAGTTTTGGTTGCATTTCCTGAACTATTCAGCGCTGGAACTGAACGCCTTTCCACCTGACTGAAATTGGATCTGTGTTCTAACCTTTTAGTTTCAACTTGCAGTGGACCAGTTTTTCTTTCGCTCACAGAGAATAATTTTTACAACAGAAGAACCTGAGAGCTTCAACTTTTCCTATATTATAAATGTTAAGTATTATAATGGTGATAGTTACTTTTCGATTCAAAATTGTTGCTTTCATCATGAATTCCATTGATTTCTTCAGATTCAGTATACTAGAAAGGATAAAAATGCTAATTAATATTCTCTCCAGTTGGACTTTGAGATTAAATAATGCATTTCTCATTAGTGAAAATATCTCTTAACAAGATGCATGTATTGATCTATTCCTTATAGCTTTTTACATGCAGTAGAAACTTGAAACTTTTTTCATTATTTTCTAATATTTGTAGAAGAATTAATGACTAGCTGCAGGCAAGGATGGTCTTCAATTTAGTCAGTCATTAATATTTTAAGAAATACAATGGACAGAAATAGTCATTAGTCCATTTGGTTTACATTTATGAGTAGGCAAAGCAGGCATACAGCACTTGCTAAAACATTTAAACCATTTCTACACAATATATCAAGATCTCCTTCCTAAACAAAAGTTTATTTAGTTAAGTTTAAATTATTAATCTAATTCATATTTTTACTCTAAAATTGTGTTTGAAGCAAAATGAATCTCTTCCGGCATGGCATACAAAAGACACACACCACTGGAAGAGTTCTGCCCCCTGTACAAGCAATATGTTTGAACAACTTAAATTAAAAATAGAAACCACATTTTTTAGAGTCTAAATGAAAATATACTGCTGTGATAAAATATTTCCACATTATAATTTTTGAATTTATTAATGGGACTGATTATGTCTTAATTAGACATACAAGTCTACCTATCAAATTCACCCACACAAAGAACTGAAAATGCTTCATGATATTTACTATATCTAATGGCTGCATTTACTGGTCCCGTAAAGACTAAAGAATGCATAACCATAGTGTATAACTTTACACAATTGTTTTTTCACATTGGCAACGATCTGAAAGATAGTTTAATGATAAAAGATTGGTGAAGAATTACTGGAAAACAATATTATGGGATTTTTTGATTTTACCATTACATAACTCATTACAATGCCCAATCAGAAATAACTGAGGGTTTTCAAAAGTACATTGTACTCTCTTTACTACATGCTATCTTTTTCAATTTTATGTTTTTAAAGTAGTATCACAATAGTTCAAATGAAAGAATTTCCCACATACAATAGTTTCTCTGCTCTATATAACTAGTACTATTTCTCAAATACTTACAGGACTCTGGAGGCTTTCAGAGAAATCAGTTGTTACTGAAAGATTTGAAGACTTGTCTGAATTGTAAATTCCCGAAGTTGTATCAATCCACTTGGTTTCAGGTGAACCTATAATTTTGGTAGCCACACTGGTGAGATTGAGGGTTTTATGCCGTGTAAATGGCAGGAAAGGTTGGTCTTTGCCCCAGTCTGATTGGCACATGAAGATCAAGTAATGAATACACATAAATGATGAAGTAGAAAGAATAAAGTTACTGATTGCACATATACAAAATGCACACATACAAGACAGACAAATCAGGTAAGATGCGAAAGAAATGAAGAGTTTAGGGCTTTTACCAAAAGGCCACCTTTCCAAAACACAAAGGTTAAATCATGTTAGCAGTGAAAAGACTAGCAAATCTGCTGACTCTTTCCATCAAGTAAGAACAGACACTATATTTCGATGCCCTTCATTGCTAGGTCTGGGAACGCTTGCTGCTCTTCCCTATGTGACCTCAGCCATAAGTGAGCAACACAATAATGGACGATGCATATTGAAGGTTATCTAAGAACATGCTGTCTTACACCAGTACAGTTATGGTAGTGCACAGACAGTAAACAGAGTGTAATCCTTAATATTCAACATTATTATAAAACTCAACACTATCATAAATGACTCTCCATGCAGACGCCTCTGCCCACGTACTTGCACTCAACCCGATGAGTGTGTTACTTGTTCATATAATGTCAAATTCAGTAAATTTGCTAGTGGAGAATTCAGACAGACTATTCAAAGAGGTATTAAGCCAACAAAAATATGAAAAGATGAAGTTATTAAAGCAAAATGTTACAACCACTTCCCAAGGACCCATGTCTCCATTTAGAGAGCCAGACAAGGTGGTAAAACTCACCAGACTTTCCATAACGCCTGATATCTAGCACTAGGTTTCCAGTTTCTCGAGCACTAGCCATGGTTTCTTCCCACTCTTTTGTATCCTTATATGAAAACTTAGTGTTGTTAACAGCAATAATTTCATCATCTACCTGTAGCTGAGAAAATTCTGCTGGGCCACCTAAGTAATACAAAATAAATTAAACAATCAAATGAAAAATAACCACATGTTCTACTAGTCAGTCACTGCTTTTAAAAATCAAATGACTTCTTAATCTCATTAATAATTTCTCATGGTGTTCAGAAAAAAAAGTCACTTTTTGGTTATAAATGTGAGTATCCACAACATACAGTGTTTTTTTATTCATAGTATACTCATCATTATTGAGAGAAACATAATCTCAACTATTCAGGAAAATCCATTAACCTCCTAAGGACAAAGAAAATTCTTCATTATTTTTAAGCTGAAAATGTGAAATACAATATATTGTACTTTAACTGAGCAAATCCAATGCACTTTGGCAGGTGGAAGAAGAAAACATAATCTCAGACTATTACCTCTGTAACAAAAATACTACTATCCAATTGAAGTAATCTTGAAATTAAAAAAAGAATAACCTATGTTAACATGCAACTTTCTATATAAAAATAGGAAAATAACAAATTTCTCTTAATTTTAGATTGTTTTAATTTTAGGTCTTCTAGCACTGTGCAGTTTTTGAGCTGGGCTTGGCTCAACCCTTGGCTCTAAACCTTTTACAAAAGTACTATAGCATCCAGAAGACCCCATGAGCAATAGCTACATAGAATGCTCAAAAAACATGTTAGGCTGAAGATTTAGCTCAGTGGCAGAGCATACGTGATGCACTGGGTTCAATCCCCAGTATTCCCCCCAAAATCCCAGAAACCCATCTATATTGGTTTATTATACACCATGTCTTTACGTACCACAAAACACATATGACCATGGAAATTTCATTCTGAATCTCTCATTAAATACTCTTTGTTAGCATTTACGAAACTTCAGCTAAAATTTTGACAAATTCTTATAAAATCACAAAGTTAAATATCATCAAAACTGAAATGAACTAGGGAAGGAACAAGAATATAATTTGCAACCTCTACTAGTAGTCTCAAGGAAGAGGCTGCCTCTCTTCCACTTACTAATGCATTTTTCATACATTTTTCTCTTCCTACACCAAATAGACTAATGCCTGTATTTTTTCTCCTGAAGCGCAGGTAACACACAAGATAGTTCCATGGGGTTAAGTCTGTTTTACCTGCTTCAACTGATGCTACGAAGATCCCGGAATAATCCCATTTTATTGTAAACCCAAAGTCAAGGCTGTTCCCAGGCGTCTGGTTTATGCTGATTCTCATATCACTGAACTGATCCTGAAAACAAAACATGAACCGTCAGTATCGGGTGTCCTGGCACCCACTGGAGGAAAGTCTATCCATGAAAGGTGGGAAGCTGCGTGCAAAGGACGCTTGGCTTGTTCATGATAGACCAGAAGCTGCATTCTTTCTTCCCTGGGTTTGCTAAAACCTGGATCTATGTATGTACATATGCATGTTCACAAGTTTATGTTTCTCTCATAAAGTAAGAGAAATCTATCAACAAATGAGAAAAAATTTTGTCATTAAAATACCAATCTGTTAGCCAATGTTATAAAGCGTAGGCTTCTGTCCACCATATAATCATGTCTAATTTATTTACTTGCTACCTAGGAATGGACTATAGTGAATGAAATCACTTTAAAATGGCAACATATTTTTAAAAGAAAATAAAAACCTACCAGCAACACTGAGTATATTTAACTGAATAACTGCAAGTGGTTTCCATAATCCGCTACCAGCAGTGGCCACTGAAGGCTGGCAGACCCCTGCCTCCGGCCCATCCCTTCGGCATCTCCAACTTGACAATGAGTCTTCACTTATCCAACTGCCACAGGAGGACCCAGTGGTAAAGTCACACTGGCTGCAAATACAGGCTCATAAGCCCTGCGAGCAACCACCCCCCTCACATGACGGAGGGTCCCTGTGAAAACGTGCTGAGCTACAGAACATGACTTGCTGGGACAAAAGGCAGAACACTAGTCCCCCCCACATTAGTATGCTACATGAAAAGATAATCCTTCATCTTCTCAGACTTTCTTAAATTCATTTTCTACACCAAAATTTGTTTTACAAAAAATTATGTTTATGAAAACCACATCATTCAAAATATATGTTGCTTTATTTTAGGAAAGCAACAAACATAGATTTTAACATACTTAACACTCAAAGTGCACTTACCAGACTAGTCTTTTAGTTCTGTGTCTCATAAAGAACTTAGGAGCTACCTATTAAAAAATAATAATAAACTCACCTATAGTCTCATTCAGGAAGCTGAGGCAGGAGGACTGCCCCAAGTATAGGACCAGCCTGAACTATATAGTAAGACCCTGTCTCAAAAGCAAACAAAAAACTTCTCAAAGTTTCTTTACCTTCCAGAGCATGGCCTACCAATTCTTCATTTTCCCTTGGCAGCTAAACTCTAAATGAGGACCAGCTGGGAAAGTCATAAAGCTTTCTGCCCACGTTTTTCCAACCCTAAAACACATTTAAAATGAGTGACATATTCTGAGAAAACTTGGGATAACACATATGAAGTAGGAAAAAGCCAGGGAAGTGCCAAATAAAGCAAGAGGAGCCTGCTGCGGCCCGCGGCAGTGCAGAAGCAGCGCAGTGCCGCTCACTCGCTAGCTGTCCGGCGCACACTCAACGTGCATCTGGTCTGTACAACCCCCAATACGCACTGCTGGGGAACTAAAGGGAGCAAGGCAAGGTCCTCGTTCTCAGGACGTAACTACTGACTCTGCAGTGGTGCTCAAGTGTTTGAAGGCAAGACAGTGATGTAGCCAACAGCATGGAAATCTTTCTGAAAAAAGCCCTTTGTCAAGTGGTAAAACCAAGCACTCCAGAAGTAGTCTGACCATTCACCAATAATCTGCATGGCAGACACAAATCTGAATATAATAGAACTTTACTAAAAATAGAAAAATTACTAGGTAGTTCTACTCCAAAACCAAAACCACTGTATTCTTAAATAAGGGGCGACTCAATGAAAAAAAGTGGTCATCTTCACCACACTTACCAAAAAGAAAAAGCAAAAACCTGACTTAAAGCCAATTAAAGTACAGGATCTATTATTATGTATGGACAGAGAAATAAATGATGGGTTAGATATTCAAAATACTAATTGAGGTTTTTTAGCTTGAAGAATAAAAGACAGTATGGAGTTTTAATAATCTCAAAGAATATAAATATTCTGTGGGAAACAGCAAGCATTATCCTTTTCTACACAATATAAAATAAAGGAGAATGAGTATAGGGAAGAGTCTCATAATTATATTAGATCAAAAGAATTATCTAACAAAAGACTGGTCTTGCCTTCAAAATAGAAAAATCTCTGTTTGAACATGCCAAATAAAAGGACAGATGACCACCTCTCGGCAAGCCTTGAGAGGGAGTCAGCCTCACTGTGGCTATAGCCTGGCAGGCTCTTACACTGGTCCTTGGGAGAGTCTAGGAAAAAGGGGGCCAGGTAGGCAATGACAGGCACATTTCTATCAATAACCAGCTGGCCTAGGTACGGCCTTCTGCCTATGCTTTCAAGGTTTTTCTTTTGTTTAAAAAAAAAAAAAAAAACAATCTGATTCAGACTATCCCCTCCCCCTTACTCAATATATAGGAAAGATTCAAGTGGATGGTTACAGCTTGGGCACCAGTGCCACGGGGCCCACCTGGGTGGCCACCACCCCGGGCATCACTGCGGAACACTGGTGGTCAGAGGATGCCTGGGAGTCCTCAGATCCTGAACTACTCAGTGATGACTGCAGGCAGCACTTCTTCTTCCTTACTTTTCTCTGCAATACAGGGCAAGTGTGCATTCTATAAGAATCGAAGCTCCAAAGAGGGAGATGATTACCTTTCTAACTGGCTAGAACAAGAATTTAAAGTACTGGGGGAACCTAGCTTCTTGATGACTGAGAAATGAACTGTCCAAGTAGTTTCAGTTGTCTATGCCAAGCATGAGAAAATAACAGAGAAAATATCTGTCAGCATCCTGACATTTAAAATAAAAACAACTTCTCTGAAATTAGGCACAATGTGAACAGAAGTACACACTGCAAGCGGATCGCCTCACCAGCTGTCAAACTGATGAAGCAGAAGAATAAGACTAAATTTTTAAAAACAAGCAAAGCTCAGCTAGAGTTCTGACAAAAAGAGTTATTTTCCCTAATTCTGATGAATTGGGATTCTCATGTCACCAGAGATGTGAAATAGTGAGAAACAGGGTCAATTTTATGTACTGACAAGTCAGAAAATATTCTCTTTTTTTAATTTAAGAAGCTTATTGAATAAAGGTAACAATAAAGGTAGAATTGGTTTTATAGAAAGACTTAAAGCTTTTATCAGTAAACACAATTCTTTAAGTTTGTATGTCTGATTTCATTTAACAATGCATTCAGATACAACCATTTTTCTATCAATAACTTGAATTAAACCTTCTTTATGATTGAGTAGTACTCCACTGTGCATAAATACTGTATTTCCTTTATCCGTTCATTTGTTTTATGCACATATAGATGACTTCCAAGATTTAGCTATTATGAGTTGTGCTGTCTAAACATGTCTGCATGTATCACTGTAATATAATGTCTTTAATTTTTCCAGGAAAACTTAAAACGGGAATAGTTGGATCAAAGCACATTTCTATTTTTAGATTTTTGAGAAAGAAAAACAAAGTAGCAAAGCATGATTTCCACAGTAATTGTACTAGTTTTCATTCCTACCAATAACGTAAAAGGGTTCCTTTTGGCCCAGAGCCCTGCCGGAATTTGTTGTCATTAGATTTCCTGATGGATGGTCATTCTTTGTCATGTAAGGTGGAATCTCAGTGTCTTCCTAATTTGCATTTCTGTAACAGCCAGAGTTGTTGAATATTTTTTCTTGTATTTATTGCCCATTTGTAATTCTTTTTTTTGTTTTCCTTTTTTAATTTACACTCCTTAATAACAGTACTATTAAAAAAAAAAAAAAAAAAAAAAACGTTTACACAGTAACTCCAAAACCAGCCACTTAAGAAAATAATAAGCACTGCCAGAGACATAGGTCCTCATAGGTCCTCTCATTCGCTTCTACTGGAAAGCCCAGGTTTATTCTGAACTTCCAGAGAGTGTCTGTATTGAATGGATGATGAAGCATTCAGGTAACAAGGAGTTGTAAGTGTGAATTTCTGGCAGATATTGCCTCAAAGAAGGTCCAGGAGTATCCACTGTCCTCAAGCTTATTCAACATTGAGATGCTCCCGACGTGACCAGCGAGGTTTCCTTTTGAGGAACTTTGGTATTTCATCAGCCTCAGAATTCAGATGCTATAAAATATTCTTCCATATTCAAAAGGGCCTTATGCTGTAGGAATGTTTTTCACCGCTTCTCCAGCTTCTTATACTTGGCTTCCAGTTTTTTTGAATATGCACCCAGCTTGTAGGCCACCTGCTCAAGTGCTGCTACCTGTTCCTCAATTACACATTTATCTGATCCAGGGAAGGCTGTAGTCTAGCATACTTCTGGTTTAAGTCCTTCAAGTTTCTACTAATGTTTATAGCAATATCTTTCATTTCCACATACGTCAAGCTGGTTAACTTATTCATGTTTTCCAGGAGCTTATAGTCTTCACTGGTGGCGGCTGCGTCATCTTCCTCCACGCCGGCAGCAGATTCGGTACCTCTGGCCGGCTCCTCTCGTCGCGTCGCCAGGACGCCCTCAGCCACCGCTGCCATGCCTGGCCCCCGCCCATTTGTAATTCTGAAAAGTATTCATTTCAGTTGCTCATTTCTTAATTAGATATTTACTTTAGGTGACCTAATTTTTATTTCATTTCTTTATATACTCTAGCTATTAGTCCTCTGTCTGAGGAGTAGCAGGAAAACCTTTTTGGCCTTTGTGTCTCTGCACTCCATTGGCCCATTCCTCCCTCAAAGAGGGCTTTTAACTTGATATGATCCCAATTGCAGACCTTGTAATTTCCTATACACAGAGTTCTCTTCAGAGAGTCCTTTGCTATGTGTATTTCTTCCCTATTCCTGCAGACTAAATGTTTTAACATTTAGATCTTTGATTCATTTTTATTTTACTTTAGTATAAAAGTAGGGAGAGATATGGATCTAGATTCAACTTCACATGTAGATAGCCAGTTTTCCCAGCACCACTGGTTAGAAAGCCTGTCTTTCCTCCTGTGTGTTTTGGTCCCTTTGTCAAAGACCAGATGGCTGACAGTGCCTGGGCTGTTTCTACATCCTCTGTTCTGTTCCACTGACCCCTGTGGCTGTTCTTGTGGCAATTCCA